AGATTCCCAGCTGTTTCCTGCACCAATTAAATAAAATTTCAATGAGATTTGCACCTGCTTCTTTCGGAGAACCATAACTTCCTTCATATTCGAGTTTAGTCGACAAGGTAAGGAGATTAGGAAAATCCAAGTCATGCTCTCTTTAAAAATCGCTGAATATTCCTTGAAAGTTTACTTATCTGAAAATTTTTCCGTGCACATGCGAGTTTTCAACCTTCAAACCATCACAACTTCCTTCAAATTCATTATTTCAGAAAGCTGAAGGCACTATGACAAACTTCAAGGTTCAAGATTTCTACTACAGGCAAGCCCCGATATAAAACCGGTGATAAGAGCGCTTCGTAGTGATGACTGAGCTGCGGGACGGCCTGAAAGTGGAAAGGAAAGCTAGAGAAATCTTTGGGATCGCTGAAATTAAGGCCTTAACCTTCAAAAAGGTCGGATGTGGAACGATGGCGAGGCAGGGCGGTCAAAGAAGACAAAACACGCGAGAGATCACGCCGTTCGAGAGAGCACGCCGATATCGAGGTGGGTGGGAAGCGTTGCAACGGGGGTCGATGGTTGCAGGCCCGTAAGGATTAGCGCCCTAACCGCGCAACTTTTGCGGCGAAGCTGGAGTGATCTAGGTAGGTAGGAACCTTGCACTCGCGGTATCCTTCACACAAGTCGAGCTGTACAAAAAATTACCCTTTCAAAAAAGTGGACTTGTTGGGATTTTTTTTGAATGGACACTCTTCAAGCCATTTTCTTGAAAACGCGAGTTTTTCAGTTCTCAGGGGTGTTCGTAATTTACTTCAAAAGCGATTGCAGAAAAATCTCAGTTGTGTATGTGTTTTGTTGTTTGTGTATGCTCTTCTGTCTTTTGTGGATATTTTCTTTTCCTCGAAAGATCACTTGTCTTCTGTCACTGACTAGCAGTCTTATCAGTGACAACGTTGATTTGAAGCACTTTGCACAAACAACCTCTGCTGTGGTAAGCGCCACGCTTACGCTGTGCTTCCGATTCGCCAAGGCACTTTGAGGTCGATAGTCACCTCACAATGCACTATGAAACGGTCACAAGACCTACTTACGAAATATCAGAAGCTCCTTCGAAATGTCAATCTACAATGCAGTGAATCTTTTTCATGTGTAAAGGCCGACGCATATAAAGTGTGCTATAATTTCACACAATTGGTCACACGGCCCTCATGTCTACTTCCACCCTCAGCCCAATAAAACTATCATCGTAGCACATTTATACTACATAGTCATGTAATGATTTCAGGGCACGCCTTCTCTACATCTATGAATCGCCGAAATGGTCTATGATCATTAGTTCCATCACTTCATTAATCCTGATCAACTGGCTCGCTATGCTTTATTTCACTTGCTATCCAACATCGTTGATAATCGAATACACAAGAAAAGATGTGGTAGATAACTACGGGATTGATCCGAATAGGAAGGCATTTTTCGGACTGTCGATGATGGTATGCCATAATGCCGTGTCTTATACTTTTGTGAAGGTTTCCGGATTCACGGAGGATGTTACGATAAATTAAATTGTGGAATAAGGGGAGCTAAGTCTGCTACAAAAGGACGACGAGCTTACAAGCTGGTAGAAATGTGCACCGGTGAAGGAGAGGGCTAGCTACGCGCCCACGCCCACGTAGCTAGCCCTAATTTGATTGATTTTAATTTTCACATAATTTGCGCCATTAAGGCCGTTGTGGACCGTGTGGACGGTCAAACAGGTGAAAAGGGTTGAAACACATTGGTGCATGACGAGATTTTGGCGCGTAGCCAGTGCCTTCAATCAAGCAATCTTAATCGCAATACACTTTCTATTTTTAATGATCTACGTGCTGCTGATTCCGGTGTTTTTCTAGCGCAAACCTTTTTATTTTGTTTTGTTTTTTGGTAGTCGTTGAACGGTTGTCGTTGTGCAGCTGCGTGCTAAGGCCGGTGTCAAACTCCGCGAATCCAGTGATTCGCTAGCGAATAGTCCGATCGGCTCTATACAAGTGGGATGGGCACGCCCAGCTTTTCACGCATGTCAAGTGGCTGCCCTCACCCCCACCCCCTAGATTGGCTACACTCCCCCTGGCTCACGAATTCCCCGATTCTCGTGACAGTATAGTAGCGGGCAATACTTGTATGGAACCGTTTTCTCCGCTGGTACACAGCACGGTGCTGATGCAACACTCGTGTCCAGCAAATAACTTGATTTGCAAAAGCCACGGCTTAAGGTGGTGGCAGACCACAAGGTGAGTTGCCCACCTCAAGCCATTGTCAGTTTTTGCGAATCCAGTTGCGGTGCCCGATACGGCGGCACGTTGAACATAAAAATGCAATGTTTTGAAACTGAAATTAATCGGGAAAGGTCCAACTATGCGTAATGTACGCGTCATGCGCGTCAATCCGGACAGTAGCGGTCAAAAGTGTTCGCCGAAACGATTTTCAGTGCATTATTTTTTCTCGCTTGAGCAACGTCTTCCAAAGATTGATATACTATGTTTTCTAGTGTTTTTTATCCTCCAATCTCAAAGAATCAGGACATCTAAAAGAAAAAGGTCACCATTTTCTGGAAAAAATCTGATTTCGAAACATTTCGTTCTGGGAAAAAAGAGAAGCACGGAGAACCGTTTCGGCGAACACTTTCGACCGCTACTGTATGTTGACGCTCTTCGCAGTGTCACCACAGTCCGCAACGTCTGCAAAGGCTCAAAGTAGTAAATGCAATCAGTGAGCAGCCTATCTTTGGTGAGTGTCACCTACTGTGATGCGGCCCGCCTCCAAGTGGAAGATTCGGGCCACGACCGGTTGAATGCTGGTATTGTATCGCCGTACCTTGGTGTTCGTTTTGAAGGGGCATTAGGTTAGGCCATATCTCTTAATTTTTCAAGGTAATACGTCATCGATGAAGGAGGATCAGGATGTTCGTTGGTACGATGACAGCTATCGGGTTCAATCCGT